ATATATATATATATATATATATATGTATATGTATATATATTGACGACAAAGTGACAAGTGAAACTATAGTTTTATCGTACCAAATCACGTGGTATACTGAAGTCGCCGGGTCATGGCATTTATTTAGCGCTATGAAATACATGGACGGGCTCCAATGCTACCAGGTTAAAGCGTATCAACGTCAGATCAATTTCGCCTTGTAGTCATAGTGCTCTCTGCTCTTTTGTATTGTCGTATCTTGAAACGCAAATAGAGTAAATTGCTATGACTCAAGAAACTAAAGCTCGTAGTGGCATGCAGGTGCTTTATATGAAGTCGCGGCATTACAGAGCTGAAAAATGGTCTATAATTCAAGTTCTGTGAGAGTATCTCAACAGTACCGGCTTGAAATGTGCGAAAAGCAAGTTATGGCTCAGGGGATGATATACCGGGAGTTTCATTGCTATTCAGTGAAGACAGCATCCATTGTTTTCCGTCACAGACACAGCTCATACTGATTTTAATGCACTAGATTTTTGTTAGCAGCGCAGTCCCATAACTTCACGAAACACTACATTTAAGCAATGAAAGTTTGAAGCATGGGCGTGCATTTTCACTAAGGAAACGTGCCGTAGCTATGCAGCATAGCAGAGTCACAACAATTTTAAAGAGCTAGTTCGCTCGATGGAGGTAGCCGCATGACGTTTTTATACGCTCATACCATGAATACGTCTAAATGTCTACTGCTCATACATGATCGGGTTATTTTGTTGTGGAGTTGAACGTTCGGGGGACCTATCGCTGCTTTCTGCTACAAGAAGGCACCACCAGCCAGCAAAAAGAGATTTCGGCGAAGAGAAAAAAATAAACTGTGTTATTGGGAGAATGTTCTAATCTTTGAAAGCGGCCAAGCCTGTTTGTGTTTCCTTATTACACAAGCCTCTAATTATTACTCTAGCATTGTGTGTGAGAGGGTCGCGTTTGGGATTAAGGGGGGAGAGTTGTGTAGAAGGTTTGAGAGGCAGAAAAGAGAATTGAGAAAAATCTCCTTGGCGATGACCATAAAAAATGGCAGTGGCTTAGCTCATCTATGCCAGGATATACGTAGCGTTGGCAAAGGTTCAGCTGATTATTCTTAGATTTCCAGATATCATCCTCACAGCTGTTCCAATGACACACACACGGTATACGTATTATGGGGCACATGTATATTTATTTTGCCGGGCAACTACTTCGGCATTCGATGAGTTAAGCTTCTCCGCTCTACTGCACCGTTGAGCAGCATTTGCACTCTCCTTCTACATGGCTATACCACAGTGGCAAACGCCAGTCAGAGGCGCTATCAAGCGGCTCCAGCGCAGTGTCAGATGGCGACTGCACAGGGAAGGCGCGCGCGTCGGCGTCCATATGTCTACCAAGGCTATGACGGCACTCCTCTGGAAAGCGCACACCGGCAGTGGCGAGTCGCGTGCGGCCGCGGCCGAGTGTGAGAGGGGTGGCTGCTCCGGTGCGTGAGTGACACCACTGATCGTCTGCGCAGCGCATCAAATTGCGCGCACACCGGCGGCGAGCCGCGCGCGGCGGCGGCGGAGTATCATTGCGCATGCGCAGACCAGTGCCACGCGAATTTGCTCAGCGAAGCCAGTGTAGCTAACGCTACAAAAACTAGCTCGAAAGATATGATAGCGCCGGGCACAGGTGCTTATCTCTACTCACTTTATGTGGATTATAGTTATTGCCCTAGAACAATTTTTTTATTTTTGTTTTAACAAACCTCTCAGTGCCAGAGACATTACAGAGGAGAAGTGGTAACAGCACTTCGACAAAAAAAAACTAAGTAGAAAAGAAGCAAAATATTACATTAAACAAAAAAGTGGACAGAAAACGCGCATAAAACAAGGTAGCAAGACATGAGCTTAAATTGAGTTTAGAAGGAGCCTGAGTATACAATGTCAGCTACAAAGTTACGGAACTGCTCATGATGAATAATGTTCACAACGTCCGCCAGAAGTCCTTTTCAATCACGAGAAGTCAATGAAGTCAATGATAAAAATGAATGATAAAAGTTTCCAGTATTACATGAAGCGAGTTTGAATTTATGACGATGGTCTGTGCGATCGCTCACGGATGAGACGATCGCGTAAAGCAGGATGATGATACATTTTATGAAACAAGGCAATTCGTGACACTTTTCTGCGCGATGATAATTATTGCAGGGACAAGTCCTTTTTTCAGAGAAGCTAGATAGAGTATGATACTTTCTAAGATATTATATAAGAAGTATGAATTTCATTTCTTCAAAGAATCGAAAAAAAGCTGGGAAAAGCATTTCTTGTTAGCCATGCTAGTCCTAAGCAATTAAAGTTCCACAGATCACACGTACCTGGGAATCGACGTTATGCGAAGCATGCGGAGGGAAGGTGGCCGTGTTGCAAGTTTTTTATTGAGCGACCCGTCATGAAATGACGCTAAATATATGTACAAATATAACACGCACAGACATATGATAAAAAGTTGCAGATGTTTATATAACAAGTTCTTTGCACTTGCACAACGATGCCTACTGGAACATGCGTATTAGCAACAACAGAAGCTGATAAGAAGCGCTGATGCTCGCGAGGATGCTGGCCCTGGACACTGCTACATAAATCAGCTTCAGCGCATTGCAGCTAAGCACCATTGACGTTAACCCGACGAGACGGCTGTATCAAAGGAACGCATATGTAATGTACACAAAATTGGGTAGGCAGCACTGCAACCACTATTGACGTTTCAGGAAGATTACCGTCTGTTTGAAAGGTAGTTCCGAGACCTGGCGTAGCTCTGTGGTAAAATGCTTCATTGACACGCAGAATGCTTGGGTTCGATTCCAGCTTGGACCCTGAAATTTATTCTTTGCGTTCGTCGGGGCGACGCTACCGATGCCGGGAATTTTTTAACGATCGCGCGTCAAAATTGCCCATGTGTGTTCTTCTCGTTCCTGGGTGGATGCTAAGTGTCAATCACCTGTGGCACGTACCCGCATACCAGTGGCACATACCCACCCGTGGGTATGTGCCACTGTCTGGCGCGAAGTTCTTGACGACGTACGCGACAGGATTCTGACATTATTGATACCTTGACCAGCGCGTGATATTTGTCAAACCATATTACCCACTCATGCTCATTTTGGTTGACGCTAAATTAAGGGGGTGACCACGAGAGCACGTAAACGTAAGCGGCTAGATAGATCTTTAGATATGCTTAAGGTCGCCGAAAATCGCTAAGAAACGCCTCGCATTTAAAATAAATTGAGACTTCAACTTAGTGTGCCTATCGTTCAGTATCAGATGATGCTCTTGCGAGCTGCTACAGCCCATAAAATAATGATGACTTTGGTCAGTGCTACTGATGAAACTTAACTGATGAGCAGAGGTGGCTGGTGGCAACAATGTCCGTCCCAAATAAATAATAAATAATAAACTGGCCTGGCCAATACATGTATTTCTGTAGCTAGTTCATTACTGATGGTTGCTTTTATCGCATATCATAAACAGCATGAGAGCAATGTGCGAATGGGGTGAGAATAGGTCAATTTTTACACGTTCATGTAACTGTGCTATCAGCCAACACATTTCATGCTTATCCTACTCAAATAGCTTGTGTGAATAAAAGCTGCCACCTGACCGTAAGCAGCAGTGTCAATAATCTTATAATTTTGTGATTTCAGGGAGTTATGCATGTTAACGTGAATTCCAGCTGTTCATCGCGTGGAAGACATTATTCAATCAGTTATCGTTTTGTTTGAAGTTTATAGGCGAAAACACTCATGACATTGAGCTGTCTTATGCCATTCTACGGAGAGCCTATACCAAGAAAAGTACGAAGCTCCAGCACGTATGATGAAAACTATGGATGGCGCTTGAGCTTGGACTAGCGTGACAGCGTAAACGGGCCTCAAACGCAGCGCCTTTTGAACTGCTAGCCTGCCTTCAGTCTTGGGAGCGTGGCTCAACCATGCCGCAAGGAAGTAAATTTTCGCGTATTTAACCTTGGCCATTTCAAACTGTTTCAGAATGACCGCTGCATATGTGGTTGTGCAGTGTCCACTACGGCGTACTTTTTGAATTCGTAAATTGGCAAAAGGTTCGCTATATGTGTACGTAACGCAACGCGTCAACTTACGCAGCTGCTCACTTTGTTGATGTTTTTCCTGTTGATGATGATTAAACATGTCTCAGCACTTTGTCATAGAGTGGGCCTTTAAAGCATCCACTTGTTCAATTAGCATGTGTTCATGCCTGCCTCCTTTGTACGCTTGTACCATGCAATACAGCATACATTAAGGGGACTCTTCTTAATGTATGCCATTCCTATACTGTTTCATTTTTCGAATATGTTTTAAAGAAAAACGTACCTCTATGATGAAACGCCTGCTTGTTTCGCAGAAGGCCTGGGTTTGATTTTCGCTTGAACCAAAAATTTTTGTTCTTCAGTTTATTCATTTTTTTCTATTTTTTTCGGTCACGAAGAGTGCAGATTTTTTAATCGCACCAATGACACCGACGATGACACCCGAATTTTAGTGAAACAGGCTCTTTAACGCCATCACGTTAAAACTTTGCAGTAGCTGCCACCTGAAGTGCGTGTTTTAAAATAGCTGCCTATCAACGAAACCTAGATGGCCGTAGCGCTATAACATCACCAAGCAAAGGTTCGAAACTTACATGCTGATGCTTCCCTGTGAGCTAAAGCATAAGGCTATCAACATACATTGCTGATACAACATACACTATCCCTTTCCTCTCCTTCTTTCAATCTTCCCCATCCCGTTTACACCTGTAGGGTATCAAACCGATTATCCGAAAGTAGTTGGTCTCCCCACCTTTCTTTCTATATTATTATTATTATTATTATTATTATTATTATTATTATTATTATTATTATTATTATTATTATTATTATTATTATTATTATTGCTAATGACTGCAGTGACTACTTCTGTTTATAATGATGGTGGTAGTTTTAAGCGCACGTCATACCTGTGCCCTCAGTCTTGACGCTGAGCACTTGGGTGGGGTCCCCTTTTCCGGCGTCATTGAATGCCTCCATATAGAGCTGGTAGCGTGTACCACACCGTAAGTTCTCCAGCACGATGCTCTGCTGCGTTCCCGGTACATGTTGCTTGACCCAGTCATTTTGTTCTTCTTTGTAATGCAGTATGTAGCCTGCAAATGCAGTAACAAGCATCGTTTCAAGCATGTATATTATCACGCGAAAGAACAGGTTCACTTTGAGACAAAATCTACATAGTTTCTGGCTCTTATAATAAATGTGATCTCGGTAATATATGCGTAAAGTAGGCGTTGATGTATCGCTTGGTAAAGCAGACAATGAGCGTCTGCTTCTCAACAGTACAATTGATCCTAGACATTGGAATCCACAAGGAGAGGCACTAAAAGGCGCAATGTTTTACATACGCTGGAAGTTATGTGGTGCAATAAAGCGCAGCAGCTTACAGAAGACAGCGTAGCCGTTTTCTTCACTATCTGTAACACGTCTTCTCTTTGAGGTTCCACATTTAAAATATGACTTTTTTGTTTTTTAAGTATTATGTTTTTTCTTCAATAAAACTTACATCTTTTATAATCGTTGCTTACGTTCATATTTCGTCTGACTTCTACACAAACATTTGTATAATATAAGCACGTCTCAGAGAGATCTCTGAATAGGAAGGCATTTGGCTTGCTTATCAGCTTTATTGACTCAAGCAGCTAATATAAAATAAGGACTGTGAAGCCCCTCATGTAAAGTTTAACTACGTGCAGGGTTATTAGATGAGAATGGGTACTCTGCATGATTGTTAGCTGAATTCGATCACTCCCTAATGTTTACACCACGCTAATAAAACAAATATTTCACAATTCATCGTACTTCACAATTCTGAAGTAGCTCAGATGATACACAGATGCATAGGTAGCTTATGTTTGTCTATTATACAAGAATATGTAGCAGGGTATGCGTGTGAATTAAGGGATTAGTTTGATCCAACGTACATAAGTGTAGAAACGTTTGGAAAGAACTTATCTCCGGAATGCCAGTGACCCTGTCAATGATTGCTCCGCAGATCCGAGGTCAAAAGTCTATGTCAAATTGTCTTCATAACTCACAATTATATTATATTTCGTTTCATAGATATAACACAAAATGTACTTGACTAACAAAACTAAAGACAAAGAAAGACGCTTCTCCATAACTCTGCCAGAGGGCTAAATTATTATTTTTACAAAATTCCTTCTAGTTCTCTTCTTATACTTTCTTTTGTCAATTAACAGTAATTAAGTCACTGTGCTTCCCAAATTTACATTATTCCTTGAGTCATCTGATTATTGCATGGCTAATGAATATATATCTAAATTGAATGGTAATTATTCAGACTAGACAAGAAAGGGTCAATATACATCTAAACTTCTAACATACCACTGCCAGTTTTGCGACGCACATATACAAAAAAGATGCTAAGGAATAGCGAAATTCACAGTTTTCGTACCTGTGACGGGAATGTCGGGCGGCTCCCACAGCAGGTGCACCGATGTCGCCGTCGTCGATTGAACCCGTATCAAAGGAGGGCTGGGCGGATCTTGGGGTGGAACCATGCCGAAGAGACAAAAAAGAAAGGACAACATCCCAAAATATCAGGCTCTAAAAGTATCCTTTTTTGTTTTATAAAGAAGTAGTCATTGGGCACCCAGCTCTTCCTAAGTCGTCTTTCCCACTAGCATCCTCTTCAAGTGTGCAACCTGAGCGGCAGCGGGAAGCAAGCGTCACTTAACAATGTAATATAGAGATCCCCACACCGAGACCTTCCCGAAACATCAGCTTCGTCAAAGCACCCCTATCTTCCTTACCAAGCATCCAAGCATCTTGGCTAAGCGACGTTCTCGGTTCATTTCCTGAAGGCTAAGAGAAAAATGCGGAAGCGTGACAAAACCTTACCGTTTCCAAGCAACGTTCAGTGGAAAGGAACGCCTTCGATGTTGTGTTGCGTTATAAACGCGCGAATATAAAGAGTTGGATAGCAGAAGCGTCAGAGAAGGGTACACTTCCAGCTCGGAAGCGATAACAGCTCTAGCGCGAGTGTACAGCGAAGGTCTTTCGCGGCTACCGTCATTACTGTATGGAATCTTTCTGGACGCAAGGTAACAGAAGATGCGTCCCAATACAGCCCTCTCGCTCTATTTATATCTCTTCCTGCAACTCTGTTTCCTCTTCATCTTGACACGTGTTCTCCATTACGTTAGTTACAGCTGTAACCGAGAAAGCATCAGCAAAGCTTAAAGTGTTTGCTAGGCTGCCGTGATGCCGTCACTGCAGAGAAGAAGAGTTTATTTTACACACAGAGAGTTCCATTGGTATAGCAAGCGCAGAAGAATAAGTTGCCGAGTAACACTTTTATTTTCAACATTACGAAATTACCTTCCTTTTACATCTAAACAAGAGTTCCAAAAACGTTCAGCAGGATATCAAACACGGACGCTTGTGTTCTGTTCCCGATGATAGCTATCAAGACGAAGAATTGAAGTCGGCATTTTTAGATATTTTTGCGTTACAATATCTCCGAGTGTTAATGTTTTCTCGAGAAATAAAAAATTAAAATAAAGTGCAAGTTTTCATTTTCTGCCTTACCTTCCGCGTTTTATGCTCCCTATTACTGAAATGATTCATTTCATTGATCGCATGCATTCTTGTTAAAAAACACAGGCATCTCTCACTTTGCTTCATGTAAGCATAATCATAAGCACACATCAATGCTATTTGAATAATGAAAATGCATATGCTTAACGCATTCTTGCACAGAGGAGGACTTGGGAAAACTTGAGTACTTATTCTAAAGCGAAAATGCAGTATAATATAGTTACAGGCATACATGTGCTGCTTCTTTTTATCAGCGCGGCACACACTTTAGAAACTGCACATTATTGCATGGCCAACGTTATCAATATATATTATTTGAAAGTTTGCCCGAGAACTGCAAATATAAAAAACCGTAGTAGCTAAATGAATCAGTACGCACAATTGCCAGTTTACAGAGAAGGTATTACTCTCGAACTTAGAACTGCATACCATCTGAAATTATCGGCTAATATCAGCGCTAACCCTACCAGGATGACGTAAAAAATGAACATCGTGTTCGCGTCTATTTTAGGCACGCCACCAAATGTGTATACGCAAATTGCGGATGCTTGGCCCTCGCGGCACTACTCGCTTTTATGACATCTCTAAATCAAGAAGTACATGACAAAAATAAAATAAATTGAACTTGTTTGGCAATAAACAGTGGCTGTAAGTCTAGCGCCGTGTTTTTGTTTCCTTTTCATTCATGCCGTCTTACGCGCTGTTTTACTTTACGTCTATACCCTACAAGAACAACCAGTCCTATCAAGCACACTAATAATTGCTCATAGGCAACTTTTTTGAGTTGAAGATTTTTTAGACTTGGAATCATCCGTATTTACATAGTCTCATTATAGTGACATGGAGCGAACCTACGCCTCAAGGCCGAACAAACCTCTCGGCACGACTAACATTTTATCAGCGCCATCTGCTGAGAAATTTCAGAAACCAATCAATATTTTCCGAGAAGAACTTTCGCGCTACGTACGGTAGATGGCGCGTCAGTGGTTGTAGGTTCAACATGCTTCTTTCTTATGCTAGAAAGTTTAACCAAGCTAGCCAAGCGTTTCCCTAAATACATGGTACATGTATAGTTTTCGTTACATCATAGTTTATTGATTAATTGTGAGGTTTACGTCCCTAAACCGCCATATGATTATGAGAAACGCCGTAGTAGAGGGCTCCGGAAATTTCAACCACCTGGGGTTTTTTAACGTGCACTCTTATAATAGCGCACGAACCTACAGCATTTTCGCCTCCATCGAAAATGGAGCCGCCGCCACAGGGATTCGATCCCAGGACCTGCCGGTCAGCAGACGAGTACCTTAGCCACTATATCTCCGTGGTGGGGCTTACAGGGTGGTAATCACAGTGTTATTAAAGCTTGCTAGCGTGCATCGTAAAGCAAAATGCAATAAAAACTTTAAGAAAAAAAGCCTTTTTTATGCCTATGGCACTCTCACATATCAAAAAATGTATATTCTAGTAGTGTAAATTTTTTCTGCCTGCTTTCATTGTTTTTATATGAGGGCTCACTACTTAGACAGTGTTTATCAACAGTTTTGGCTAGCGTTCTAGAGCGGAATGAAGCTGTTTATAAGTGAACTATTTGATATAGAAGTTTATTTCTGCTCTTATTGAGCCTACCTTAATCTTGTCATATCAAAATATGAAATATATAAAAATAGAGAATTCCAGAATGCAGATTTATGCCAAGAAAGAAAACTCTAATAATTTTGTAGCAATGTACAGAGCTGTTGAACCTATTTCTCTGATGGCTTGTTTTCTTTCTTACGAAGCTGCCTGACAGGATATTAGGCTAAGCTTCGATAATCAGGCCATGAGCACGTCTTTATTATTAACACAACACCATGAGTTTTAAGCAGCCAAAGTACAGACAGATGTACTGCATATGCGTGAACCTAGAGAAACGCTTCGCAAGGTAGCTACTAAATCAAAACATAAGAATTTGCAAGCGAGTCCCTCTGATGACCACAGAAGGAAATAACACGGGTTTTGCTCAACAAAATACCTAACATATTATATAAAGCATTTAAGCAAAACATTTGCCGTTCGACAAGCATAACAACCATATCCTCTCTGATAACGTAATTTAAGCATGAAAATAACTATATGTGCTGTTTTAAGCTCCAAGACCATGATACAAACATTGTGGCGTCAGAACTATGATAGAGTCATCCGAAAATTTCGACCATCTGGTGCCCATTGAAGAGTACTGACAAGGCAGAGTACACGGGTCTGTGACATTCCGCATCCATCAATATCTAACCGTCGTGGTTTGGCTGGAGCCAGCGATCTGCAGATCAGTAGCCGAGGAATGTAACCATGCAGCGTACCACTTGGTGGCGTAGTTCTATTAGCTACCACCCTGTTTGCTCTGATAGTCACATAGTAACCAGCTGCATCTAAACTATTCATATGAACACATCCTGGCTACTTAGGAAGAAAATATGAACCTGCACCCAAAACATATATTCAACTTCGCAGACACACGAACTTGGCCATAGTTCACAGATATTAGGCTAAATTAGGAATAAGACGAACTTTTATTGCAGCTGAAGTTTCCGTGCCCTAGAGTTGAAGCTACTCTACATGTGCAACGCGTGAAGTTTAATGATTTGTAGATAGCAGCGCTTACCATGTTCAAGGGTTTTCGCCACTATCTCTTCACTGGCTGGTCCGGAGCCGGCTGAGTTGAAGGCTTGCAGGCGTATAGAATACTCGGTGTTACGACGGAGGTTGTTGAGTGTGAACTCTTCTGCATCGCTACTCTTTGAGCTCTCCAGGGTTTTGTACACGTATTGCTCCCCTGAACGATGTAACTTGTAGCCCAGATAGTATCCTTTCACGGGGCTCCGACGATCTTCAGATCGAGGAGCCTGTAGAAAACCAGACGATTTAAGTGTGAGACCCTTGTCCGGGTGGTAAAATCATATCTGCTCTAGTACTACTTTACGAACTGACACAAATGGAATATTGGGACATGCAACGCTACCAAGCGTGGAGAAGGCCTAACGTGTATGTTAATGCCACCGCGGAACTTAGAACCTCGGGCTCTGTCAACACAATTTTTTTTCTTGTGAATCACAGGATGGTTTTCCCCTTCTGTGCCGTGTGCGCAAGAACCTACGGCTTTTACGGCGTCTACGCCTCAGGAAACTCCAAGCATAGGAAAATAAGCAAGTAAGAAAGCGAGTCGTGTCACCTCTCCATATGCAAATTCATATTAAAGTGCGAGCGCATCGATGAAGCTCTCTCTCGCTCGATATATATATATATATATATATATATATATATATATATATATATATAAAATCTACAATCTTGGAACGTGGAATTGCTTCGCCTAAGCTTCTTCTTGCTAATTACCAAAAGGAAAGTTAGTATGTATATGCGTTAAAGTTTCGCTGCATATACACTGCTTTCTCAACGATTACTTATAATCATTTGTGTAAATATGGGAAATCTTCGTACCCCAACTTCTACTAGAAAAAAAGAGATCTATTCGACGAAGATTTTTACGTGAGGTAATACTACAAACCTTCCACTTGATTTTTATTGATTTTGAACTGGTGGGCTCAATCTTGATATCAGTTGGGGGGTTGCTTGGAGCTGTAAAGAAGGAAGAAAACAGAATTGATTCTATGAGACTGGAGTCAGCGAGTAAAAACTCTATTGTGTTGGACATTAGAGATTATAATATATTACGGAATACATAAATTACATTATATTACTATTTATTATGGATGGTGGATATCTCGGTCACTTTACTGGTGAGGGCAGTAAAACGGGAAGAAAGAAAGAATGTTGCGCTTTAGCTCAAAAACCAAGGTGTAAAAGGTCATCGTGTCTTCCACAGCATTTTACACTTCTGGACTTTACGCACGCCTTATAAGTGCAAGTGTAGCTTAAGTTACCTTGAACCGTATACGCATTAACACTTTAAAGTGGCGAGTGTTCTTTCACGTTAGGGAGTTTTCCGAGGGCGTACCACAAATCTTTGCGTTGTGGTCACTAGCATTGCGCATGCGTCATAACGCCAACCACCAGTAGCGTTTGCGGCTCACTCGCAAAAAATCAGAAATAGCGTGGGGCCCGCAAGGCCAGCGACGCCCCTTTGCGCTTTGCGAGCGTACTGTAAGCATGCTTCAGCGTTTGCGAGACAAACGCTATTCAAAACACCGTGTGGCACCCGTACGCAAATGCGACGCGCGCAACTCCTGCTAATTTAGCGTACACTATTTTAAAACTTCCTATTCATGCTGGCTAAGCGGGCGTGTTGGTACGTACACACAGTTATTCCGAACAGCGCAGAAATGGGTCATAGAAAAGACCCCACAACATAAGCGTTAACTTCCAGCAAAATTTATTGCGGGAATGCAAAATACATTGCCATGAAAAGGCTAGAGATACCTTTGGAAGCCTGCAGCCCCAAGTCATCTTTTTATCGCGTTTGCCGCGTGTTTTAATTTCCTGCCTATCTTTTTCACGTTCACAAAATGAATCCCCATCAGAAGTCAGCGCCTGCGTTATCTGGTATATTCTGGCTATGTCTCTACTCTGCACTGTTCAAAGTACCTATTTTCTTCCATATGCCACATCAGGATTGCTTCCTTACGGAAAATGATGTTTGGGCTTCAGCCATAGGAGGAGTTTTTGTGCCTATACGTCTTTCAACAATTTCTCGCCAGTACTCTTGTTATATGCGTATTTTAGCAGTTTACATTCATCGGTGGCTTCATGATCATATTATATAAGGCATGCTATTATGTACGCACCCTCTTTTTGCAATTGGTTTACTCAGACCCTGTTTACTTCCTTTTTGCTATTTTACTGCTTGCGTCTACACAGCACGTAGTTTGCTTTATACGCCGTGTGGTTGAAGCCTGTATACTTGTAGTCATTCTTGTTTCAACAAAGATATGTCATAAAACAGGTAGAAACAAGCGATTCTGTCATTTGCTACTGCAATCAAAGCTGAGCAGTCGCTGTAAAAACGTGCTTTACCCACGCTCAAGTGCTGCAAGCGTTTTTTCCTTGCATCTACCATCATTAGACAAGTTATATAGTGCAAGTTACTTTCATTTATTGGCAAGCGCACTAACACGGTACTCTCTCACTCGCTGAGTAATAATATTGCGAAAAACCTATGTCTAAACACCTAGGCATCCACCTAGCACGAGATTTATTGTGGTCTAGCCATGTTGAGAAAATAACCACAAGAGTATTGCGTACACTTGGATACGTAAAACAAATATATAGGGCATACCGTCCACTACACCAAGTCTAGCTAGCTAAATTGTCCACAATATTACCAGTTACCAACTAGCCCAAGAAGTTTAAATAGACGAACATGAGCCTACTCATTATTTGTTCATCAACAACTTGAATTTGCATCATCGATATTGCTACCTCACCAAGCATGCCTTATTCATTCCCTCGAACTCATAACAAATTGTTCAGCTCGTTTCATCATCGGCAACTACGGTCGAGCATCATGCATGTGTGATATGAAGTCGGAGCTATCACTTCCATCACTGGACTCACATAGGAAGATTGCATTTATTCGCCTGCTTCATAAAATAATCTGCAGCCATCCCACATCAACTCTACAGCTTACTGATGCGCATTGTATTATTTCGGCATGTTCACCATCATTTAATCTTGCGATGTCTCTTCCGAGGAACACATAATTTTAAATAATGGGCTCTACACCGTCACATATTACACCCGAACAATCTTCAAGACAAGGTGGTCTACATCCGCGACCCTGAGGTATTTAAACTGCAATCTTATGTTCTCTACGCTTTTTTTCCTTCTTCATGATCGTCTTTTTTTTACTTTCCACAAAGCTAGGAACATAAAGCACTGCATCACAATGTTTTAGGACCAGGATTCATTGATTGATTGATGATTTGTGGGGTTTAACGTCCCAAAACCACCATTTGATTATGAGAGACGCCGTAGTGGAGGGCTCCGGAAATTTTGACCACCTGGGGTTCTTTAACGTGCACCCAAATCTGAGTACACGGGCCTACAACATTTCCGCCTCCATCGGAAATGCAGCCGCCGCAGCCGGGAATCAAACCCGCGCCCTGCGGGTCAGTAGCCGAGTACCTTAGCCACTAGACCACCGCGGCGGGGCTGAGGAGGAGGAGGAGGAATAAATGAGGAAAGACAGGGAGGTTAGCCAGTTCTCAGACCGGCTGGCTACCCTGTACTGGCGAAGGGGGTAAGGGGGGATAACGGATGAGAGAAAAGAGACGTTATAGAAAAAAGGAGAGAGAAGGTCATCAGACGATCCACGACGCTGTTTACAGTCTGTCTCTAAGACCACTTGCCCGCAGAAAGCGCAACAACGCTCTCAATGCCTTGCGTGCAGAGGACGGTCTCGGCCAGTGTGCTAACACCCTTTCTTCCGACAATCGGCGATTGTCTATTCAATCTAAAGCTTTCGACAGTTCTTTTCTTGGCACGCTGAAGCCGGGACACTCGCAGAGAAGGAGAAAGTCTCTGTGCAGCCACAGTTGTCACATGTCGGGCTTCTGGCCATTCCGATTCGAAATGAATAAGCATTCGTAAAGGCCACCCCAATCCACAGACGGCACAAAAGCGTCTCTTCTGCTCTGGTTATTCCTAATGGAAGACGCAGCTGTAAGTGTGGGTCCAAATTATGAAGGCGGACGTTGGGGAATGCCGGTGAATTCCACTGAGCGAGCGTCAGTTCTCGTGCAAGTGATCGAAGCCTTGCAGCGGCGTCCTTTCTTGATAATGATATAGCTACACAAGGAGCATCATCATGAGCAGTTCAAGCTGCTTCATCTGCACGGTCGTTTCCATCAATGCTGCAGTGGCCTGGTATCCATTGATACGCTATGTCATGTTGTTTCTCTATAGCCCGGTGATGAAGCAGTCGTATTTCAGCAATTAGCTGTTCGTTTGGTCCATGACGATATGGCGAGGCAATGCCCTGGAGAGCTGCTTTGGAGTCGGAGAATATTGACCATGTCTGTGGCGGTTCTTCAACTAGGAACTCCAGAGCGGCACGAATGGCGGCGAGTTCTGCCGCCGTGGATGATGTCAGATGCGAGGTCCTGAACTTTATCGTGATGGATTTCTCCGGAATTACCACTGCGCCTGTTGAACTTGCTGAAGTGACCGACCCATCCGTGTAAATGTGACTGCGTCCATTGTGTTTCTCCTTCAGAAACAGTAATGTTGTTTGTTTTAGGGCCAAATTTGACAATTTTTTTAGGGGCGAAGCTCCTTAGGGCGTGGGCTGTGCGTCCCCTGTAGCCTGTATGTAGCCACCTCTAGTTTAGTTCTTGCAGTGTTCACTAGATGGCGGTACCGTCCCCTGTATGTAGCCACCTCTAGTTTAGTTCTTGCAGTGTTCACTAGATGGCGGTACCGTCTCCTGTATGTAGCCACCTCTCGTTTAGTTCTTGTAGTGTTTACTAGATGGTGGTACTTGTAGCTGATGATGCAAAGATGCAAGATGTTATAAACTAGAGAGCGGTACTTGTAGTTGATGAAAGACGCGAGATCTTATAAAATAGGAATGATGTCACATATGGCGCGTGTCATTGGTTGAAGGCAATCGTTCGATTTAGTGCGGCGACGTACGCTAGGGGGAGCGATGTAATAAAATCGAGTGGGCAAAATGTACAGAGGATTCATGGTTTACCAGGTTTACCTCCGGAGCTTCGCCCACTCATCATCATTCACTTCGTGGATATGGCGAATTTTTTTTCTTTTGCATTCCGGGGATGGTTATCAGGGCTTCCAGTGGATGTAGACACCACAATGGTAACGACGGCCTTGCTGCGTGCGTGAAGTTCATGGGAATCACCGTGCGATGTGGGGCAATAATAGAGCTGAACGCAGAGCGTGGCCTGGAAGTTGGAAGGGAAGCGAGGTGATGCGATTGAATCCGGGTGGCATGCCTTATGTGCGTTCTTAAAGCATCGACACGAATGTAGGTTGTGATAGGGTGTTCATGAGCGATTGCGACAGTCGGTGCTGAGGATGCGCATCTCGGCAGCCCAAGGCATATTCTCAGTGCTTGAGCTTGTAATGACTGGAGGACGTGTACGTTTGTTATGCGGGCCTTGCCAAACACAGGTAATCTGTAGCGCATGAAGCCAAGAAAAAGTGCAGCATACAGTTGAAGCATGGCTCGTACCGATGCACCCCATCATTTTCCCGGAAGAAACCTTAGGACGTGGGTGATCATGATCAGTTTCTTCTTCATGTAAGCGATATGAAGGCTCCATGACAAATCACGATCTATTATTACTCCCAGGAAACGGTGAGTCTTTTGATGGCTGATTGTGTGTTCATTAATTCTGATGTGGTATGGCGTCATTGTCTTGCGCGTAAACGCAACCAGTGAGCATTTCTCAGATGACAGCTCCAGTCCTCGTCCTTGAAGGTAGTTTGCCGTCAGTGTAGCCGCTGTCTGAAGCCTGGCTCGTACGAATAGACGCGTGACCCCTGATTCCCAGATGCTGATGTCGTCCGCGTATATCGACAGATGTACGGAGTGTGGCAGGACGTCTACGAGGCCAATGAGCGCAAGGTTGAAAAGTATGGGGCTTAGGACCCCACCTTGAGGTACGCCGCGATAAGTATGATGTTGCCTTGTTGCGCCATCTTCTGTCTGAACGAAGAAGGTTCTGTCCTTCAAATAGCTGTAGATCCATTGGTAAACGCGGCCTCCCAATCCAATGCTGCCCAAGGCGTTCAGGGTGGTTCATGTAGTACATTGTCGTATGCAGCCTTAATATCCAAGAAAAGTGCCGATGATAATCTCTTGAGGCTCTTCTGCTGTTGTACAGACGTGACAAGGTCAACAACATTGTCTATGGAAGACCGTCCACGTCAAAAGCCGGTAAAAGCATCGGGGTATATATTGTTATGTTCCAAGTACCACTCCAGGCAAGTCAGCATCATTCTCTCCATCCCCTTTCCAAAACAGCTGGCAAGCGCGATGGGGCGATAGGAGGCCATGTCCTAGAGGCGATTTGTCTGGTTTGAGCAGGGGCACAAGACGGCTGCACTTCCACGAAGGAGGAACCAAACAGTTCGCTCCACGAGTCATTGTATACAGCTAGAAGGGCACGCCGAGCTGCTCGTCCTAGGTTAGCAAGGGCCATGTAAGTGACTCCATCGGGTCCAGGTGATGACTAGCGCCGCTTGCATGCTGCCAATGCTGCCTGAAGCTCCTCTAGAGAAAACATATTGTCTATTCGAGTGTCTCTGGACACCGACGCGTTTCGTAGGTTACTCATGTTGATCCCGGACCCCTTGTTTGCAACTCTGGCACAGAAGTCTTCCGCTACATCTATTTCGCACCAGGCCTTGGTGGAGAGCAAGGCATTTGAACGGACGATGCCGTTGTGGCAATGTTCGTAGGCCGCGGATTATTCTCCATATTGAATTTTTGCTAACTCTTGCGAGTTAAATTTTTTACAGTATACTCGAGTGTGTTTTTTCCTCATTTGCATCTATCTTATTGAACATTTTGTCTGTTGTTTTCTGCCTAATCAATGTTGATACAAAATGTTTGGCATGCTAAATTTGTTACTACGCTTTATTTCACCACATTTACCTCTCTGTGGATGCACCAATATGCGTTTCATGGTGTTTGAATTTTTATGTGAAACCCTGATCACCTATTGATTGAATGAGAAGCGGCCATCCTACTAAAATAAAAAAAAAGCTGCAATATGGCTTTGTGCTTGTGTCGGAAAAACTTTAATTCCAAGCATGCTATAAAATATTTTAGGCCTGTTTTTTTTTAGCAAGTTAAGCGTTAAATTTTCTGTTCGCTGACAATTTTCTTTATGAGAAAAAGTGTCTAAAAAGAAAGTGACCAAGCTATCCTGCTCTTGTAAGGTGTCAGTCGAATACGTCTTTTTGCTTACACTCTGACATGAAGGCGATCTAAGAAGTAGAGCTAACCAAAAATAAGTTATGACTGTACAACAAAATGCACTGACATTATTGAAGTCACCGTTCTCTGTTTCATGACGTTGTCAACCTATCTGCGTATAATATACTAGTTCTCAGACGTGTGGAGGTCAATGCAAAAATTAGGAATTGAGAGGGAATAAAATTATACGCCTGCTTCATTATAAATGGCATGCAGTCACAAGATTTTAGGAATAGCCAGCGCAGGACGAATAATAATGGGGTAAAGTAGGAAATTGCAGAAGTGAAGAAATCGCGAGCCGAAGAAAATGACCCCTTGCTATGTAAGGATCTGTAAGCTTTCACTTGCGTGGCTTTCATCACATACATAATCAATAATGATTTTTTTTACCTAGCATCCCAATGCTGCGTTTTGGTGTGTCTTATGTCCCAATTGTATATTTGATTAGTGGCGCTGTACTTCAAGGTCAGATTGCCTGAGCATGACAAAAAGAGAGATGACATGCGAAAAAGCGTCACAGAACAATGCCGCAGAGATAGCTAGTGGCAATAGTCGTAGGAATGCCTGCGGAAATGCACTGCATGTGCATCAAACACCATTGAGTTTCTTAATAGTACATTGATTGATTGATTGATTGATTGATTGATTGATATATAGGGTTTAACGTCCCAAAACCACCATATGATTATGAGAGACGCCGTAGTGGAGGGCTCCGGAAGTTTCGACCACCTGGGGTTCTTTAACGTGCACCCAAATCTGAGCACACAGGCCTACAACATTTCCGCCTCCATCGGAAATGCAGCCGTCGCAGCCGGGATTCAATCCCGCGACCTGCGGGTCAGTAGCCGAGTACCATAGCCACTAGACCACCGCAGCGGGGATTTCTTAATAGTACACTAGAGGGAATTCCGGCACTAGTGTCTATGGGAGCTGAAACGCACGGCGCTTCAGTGAACGTGGGCATTATGGGTAGTACATGTGTTCGCCTAGTCTTCTTACTTCACGTTCTTTCTGACTTCATGTGGCTAGAAGGTCATTTGTCACGAAATAACAATGGGCAAATGTTCGACAGTTACGCTCAATCCCCGTAACATTTTAGGCTCACCAATTCAAGTCACGTTACGAAGCTTACAACGGTTTTTTTTTATTCAAAACAGAACGAAAACACCGCAATAAACGAAGCCACAAGTGCGTTTGCCGTGTGCAAGCGTGAAGACTAGGCAAATCCATGTACTACCGATAATTTTCATGGTCGCTAGACATTGTCAGCACCAGAGTCCCCTCTAGTTAATTTCAGGAACCTCTATGTCGAAGGCACAGGATGCTAGCGCTCCCTTGGAGATGCGCCAAAAACTGCTCCAACCAATCAATATTTCTCATTGAGCTTGACGCCGCTTGATGACGCCACCTTCCCCTGCCCCGCGAGTTGCCAGGATCTGTATTTGCGCTTTGTTTAAGCTCATACGATTTTGGTTACGACTGACTCTTCGAGCGGATTTGTAAGTAAGGACGTTGTACGCGACAACGATACGGTTAGAGTTTTCTGATCCAACTACGAATCTAAGGCACCTGACATTTGACGTCAATATTTTCACGTTACACCGTAACTGAAACCTGTAGACAATAGCACACAAGTACGTCAGACTGATTCGATCAACGGCAATACGACTTTATCGTCTTCTCTGCAAGTGCTTCTTCGTCACTTTTTGAACAGCGGCACATACAAGCCTGCCAGCATCTATGGAAACATCACTTGCAGAACTTGTACTAGTGGCAATATCAATCCCACTATCAAATACTACGCATCGGAGAATCGTCTATGCAAATGATCTCGCAGCTTTATTAACACACGATTTCTACATTATATCCTTCGAGCATGATTACCATCTGATTACTCTGAGCCATGGTAGAGTTGAACATTTAACAGCGGAAAGACTGTACAGATATCAACGTTGTCGCAAAGTGCGCATTTCGCAGTGAATATTCTTGTATTAGAAAATTTTCACTGAACTATTATGATGAAATTTCTTTTCTAATTTGACTGTCTTATGAATTGAATTGCACATTAAAATATGATGCTATGCAAGGGACAGTACCATTGAGCAGTTAGGGTGTACCTATTACATACTTTCATTACATTTACCATTTGACATTCATTTTTCGTAAAGACACTGAACACCTGCTATAAAGATTTAATTAACGTAGCATGTGGCAATAATTGGCACCAAAAAGGTATTTTTATATACGAGGGATAAAAAATAGCTAGATATAAGGAAAACTTTGTGAAGACCAATAGCAGCCGAAACAGCACCAACTAAATTCGCGAAAGGCCTGAAGTGGCAGCCCACCTTCTTCCTTTGTGATGACGCTGACCACCTCGCTGGGGTTTCCGTGTCCGAGAGCATTCTCCGCGACCACCCGAAAGTTGTACGTGGTGACGGGATTCAGGTTGCGCACCACGACGGACAGATCGCTGGGGGAGTTGCGCACTGACATTACGTCCGGGGTCCACTGCTCTGCACAACACACAAAACAACACTACGTCACTTACGCGGTCACAGGAGCGCGCCGGCGTCTGCGATTACCCGATCACACGGGACGTCATCAACGCACAACGCGGCTCCAACATGACGGCTTAGATTAGTTTATGGCAGCAGACAACATGCCGCCATTTTCTCGCTTACAGGCTCAACACAAATACCACCCATTGGCACTGGAGATTTTACGAAGACATAAAAGCAATGCTCATGAAGAAATGCGGAGTAATCTACATAAATTACTAAGAAATAAGTTTTGGAGCCTTGAAGTTGACTATCCTCCATGGCTGCTTGCAATACCAAGCATTGAATTGTCAGTAGATGGCATCATCAGAAAGAGTGACATGTTCATCCAAGCTACTCAACAACTAGCTCTTTATCACCTACACATGCGGTATCCAGGGTACATACACGTATACACAGATGGCTCAAGTATTACAAAAAAGTCTTTAACATCAGCATTTATTATACCCCAACTCAATATTCAGGAATTATTCAAAATATGTCACAAGGCGTCATCTACTACAGCTGCGCTTTTCGCTATTCTGTATGCTATAAAGTTCACAAACTCGGCAGCACACGCGAGAAAAAGGGTATTTTTCAGCGACTCACAGGCCACGTTAAGATCACTCTCCAGTACGAGCACGAGATTAATTAGCGATAGTATGACATACGAAACGCTGGCAGCGCTCATCAAAGCAAGCAAGACGCAACATGAGATTAAATTCCAGTGATACCTGGCCATTGCAACATTCGTGAAAACACAGTTGCCGATGAAGCGGCACGACAAGCACATCGTAAAGATGTTTTTGTTTCTTTACCAGTTTAGAAAATAAAATTGATCAGTATTATAAAGTCTACAACTTTCAAAATGAGCAAAGCTGCTTGGTTTGTAGAAAACACAAAGGTCCGTGATTTATATCACATCGATATATTCATTGAATTCGAAATTACGCTAGCATTAGATTGAAGTATGGAAACTCTTATTCACTGGTTGAGGCTAGGCACCGCATACACAAAACTTTATTTTTTTGCACAGAATTAGCATAACTGAAACTCCTGAATGCGATTGTAGATTTATAGATAAAGATGTATGTCACCTTCTCAAAGGCTGTCCACATCATGACCCGCTGAGACACCGTCTTAAATGGGAACTGTTGGCATTAGACGCAGACCGGTCAGTATCAAGAAACTTCTGGGCCCGTGGCCAACTGGAGTTTTACATACGTACGCTTTAAAAGCGTTAAAAGGTTTTTTACAAGACAGCGGAATTGCTAACAAGTACTAAGAAATAACTAACTTCATTTGTATAACACATGTCGTTCTTATTATGCGCAGTATCATATGACACCGATCATATGTGTGTGTTGAAGTGAATGATGTGTCGACTGTTAGGTACACACGAGTGAATAGATCTTCATAAGAACCAGATGTGTGCTCTGCTGTTCTGTGCTGGTTGGATTGAATATTTACGAGGGACATTATCAGAGACTTTATTTCTTGACTTTCCAACATTTACTTATCATTGGGTTGTGATATGTGCGTATTGGTGTTTTTTCTTTTGCTAATGTGTGCTCGAGTGTTCTATTTTACGTGCACTTTTTGTATGTTTTTGTTTAAAATATGTGTTCAACTTTCACTCAAGAACAAAGGAGTAGCCGGCGTCATATTTGTGCACCAACATCTTCTTATGTATTTTATCAATAAAAAAGCATGCTTCGTTTTGATAAAGACCTCAATAGAACGTTATTTGACCTGCAGCTTGAGTATAAATATCAAAAGAACCAGTATATGATGTACCGATAACACTAATGTTTCATGACAAACTTCGCGTTCCATCATGTCGGTGTTTCAACATGGCGGTTTCAGTGGCGTCCGTGCAAACTGTCTCTAGAATGACCGAAGAGTTACCCTAGCGCAACCAACGCCCTCTCCAGTTGGTCTATTCATGTGGAATTTTAATGTATACCAAAATTACGAAGCAATTAGGAGGCACACCGATGTGGAAGGCTCCGAAAAGTTTGACCATCTGGTCGTTTTTAAGTGCATGATGCCGCAGAGTACACGGGCCTTGCCCGTTCTGCCCCTACGGAAATGTGACCGCCGTCGCCTCGATTGAACCTGCAAACGTCGGGCCAGCAGATGGGCACCGTGTCCACTGATAGACCATGGCGGACTATTTGTGGTGTTTGGTTAGCCTATACAAACCCCTTTAGGAATTACGACGCCAATGACATACATTGCACGATCAGCAAGATAACAGATGGGGAACTAGTTGGTGCTGCATAGGACACAAATAGGAAGCAGTAGACCCGAATGGACATATATATGGTAAACAGAAAACAGTAGGACGTAATGGACAAATATATGGCTTATGTAGAAAGCTACCCGGGTGAATATAGCGTTCGTGGAGTCACCGCTAAAGAGCGCAGATGAGCCATTTACCTGAATCCCGCTTGTACTGGACGATGTAGCTGGTGAGGGGAAGGTTTCCGCTGTACGGTTGCATCCAAGACATCGTCACGCTCTGACTGGTCACCTCTTTAATGTTCAAGTTTCGGGGGCTGTCTGGCTTCTCTGGAAGTAAACACAATATAACCTGTCACACATTCGGATAAAAGAATAGTTAAAAAAAGCACAAACATGGCAAGAAGTATAATATTACGAATCAGTCGAGGAGCCATGCGGAGATGTCAAAAACATAGCAGGTTTTTTTTCTTTAGCACTTCAACAAAAGCCCTAATGTTTACGATAACCAAGCCTTATATACATGCAGGTTAAAGATTTCAAAAAAGTTGGTGCAAATATGTTTAAAGATGTCATCCTTTTCATAAAGCTTTAAATATTTGCAGCATAGTGCAACACACAATCACCATCACCTTACGATTTAGTGTGAACTCTTAAATTGTACGAATGTCGGTTTAACAAATATTTCAGAATAACTAACTTTGAATATTCCCTAGTAGTCTTTTTGTGAATTCTATACAAATATCTTTGAGTTGAATGAATTTCAAAATAGGGAAAACTTCAGTTGAACTGAACCTAATCTGAGTGCCCTGGCTTGTTTGTGAATATGGTGCAACGAAGGCTCGTTTTTAAATTTAACTCAGAGATGTTCAGCGCTTTGTAGCATTAGAGCAGTCAATGCGTGTCACCTCCTAATTTCTAAAATGGCTCACCCATCCATGGTGCTGCCGCTTCGCTAATGCGTGCAGCGCCGCCGAAGCAGAATAGTCGCGCTGAAGACGAAAATCACTAACGTGCGAGTCAGTTCCTTTTTCTAACACAAAAGTGTTTTATGCCGGTGTCGACCAAGACTTCATTGACGTATTTCGGTCAGGGATATCACGCTGTGAAACGTATACCGACAGTTCGCGAAGAAAAATTCTGAAGAAAAAAAACTTCCGTCATCGATACAACTCGGCCACAAAGGCTATGTTCTTCATCATGCTAACGGCGAGCTAATTATATACGCCACCACTTACTCCTGGCAGCACACAGATTTAGAAAGCACTTGTTTTCATTATTACGAGTGATATGCGACGCTCTTGAATGGTCGTGTCTCTGCTCGCCACGATGCACGCGCGCCCCACCTGCTCTTTACCCTGAAGACGACGTAACCATGCACGCTCCATTATCTCGTCACGGTAGAGGATCGTACATTTTGTACTTTCACTGCAAGTTTACCTTGAAGTTACAGAGCGCACGAAAGTCACTTCGTTCACTGCAGCGGCTGCATTTGCTGAAGGAATGTGCCGTTAAAACACAAAGTCGCAACTGCGACAGTGGTTGGCCCTTCTCCTGGGGTCCTTTTGCTTGGGCAGCTTACTGCACGTTCCAAAGTGCCTGCTGCTATTCAGGTGACATTCAAGTTTGTTGCTATTGCATTCAGTGCTTTGCCCTCGTGACAAAAAATGCATAATAAACGCTCAACTAGCTCTCTAAACTATGTATTTAACTCTTGTGTCATACCGATTTCTATGACGGAGCGATCAGCCACTTTTTTTTTCTTTCTAGCGGTACTGTTCAGTCATTCTAAGTTTGCGGAAAACCAACACAGCGCAAGCGGTGCCCAGTTTTGTATGGGTTCCACAAAACGGAAGCGCTGGTCTCTATCACACTACTTTAAACTCATTCAGGTACTAGACTAGGGGCCAAATTCAAATGGACATTGTACGCGCCATCTCTGGACCACTTCGTCTCTTCTTGCGCTGTAAGCGTTCCAGTGCAAACAAATACAACACATGTCTTTTTGAATAAACTGCATTTCACTCATCTGAACATATATCTGCTATGTCCAACGTTGTACCATATCCCAATGAATGTTACGTTTAGTGAACTTTCGGTCAAACAGTTTTCCTAGGTCCGTTCGACTTCAATCAATGATGAGTTCACCGTATATTCGAATGACGTGGCTCAATCATCATAGGGACTTGTCCTTTAGATAGAGTATGAAATGGCCTGCACATAAGCTAACTTCGGTGCGTTTCGCAATTCTTCGCAACTTGACCTCACTCTCGGTTTTAAGTGGTGCGTGTGAATTAACAAAAACGCTGAAAATAACCCTTACATTACAAGTACAGCAGCTATGGCGGCTAGTTCATTCGGCTTCACACTGTGTGTGTGCTCTACTTTGGTGTATTCGTCTTCTTCCTGGCAGCTCAAATAAGCCGTGAAACCTTATATTAGGAATCTGCTAAGCAATACTTTAAATGACCGCATACTCACACTTGGTAATGGCAAACGTTCATTGGTATACGGTTAGCTTCACAAAAACTATGACTAGGAAAACTACAAATTCACAAACCGGAACCTACCATGCCTTACAGGCGTTTTTTATCCTTCAATTAAATTACAACCAAGCAAGCAGCTTTCGAACGCCATGCACAGACGCGCAAGCAGGTTGCTTGCGCAGCCGAATAAAACCCAGTGCACTATTTGACTTTCAGATTAAACCTCTTCGTTGTGTCGTAACAGCTTCGTGTTCTTAACGTCATTATAGAAAAAAAAAACTCCAGCAGCTGCACCAAACGAAAATATTCTATCGTCTAGGTTTGCTGCCACCATATTTGTTTCGTACCATTTAAGTCCTTAAAACAATAAAAAAGTTCTCGCAAGCATTTTTCGAAAGTGTTCACGCAGCAACGCTTGCGGCGCAAACATTGTATGCGAAGGAATTATTAACGGTCACGCTCACGGGCGACACATCTGCATGTTAATTTCTGTGCACTCTCGGTGCGTACGTCGCTCCTGTTTAACGAGCTCTGCTTTATTAAAAGCGCCAGCGGCAGCAACCGAAGCGACGATGTGACGCGAGTTTTTAATGCTGAAGTTTCAACAATGAGTCGGTCACACGCGAAATGCCATCGCCATGGCACCTTTCGTGACAGCGTTTGCCGAAGGCCATTGCACCATCTTTCGCGAAAGCCAGAATTTCGCGTCACTGCTCGCGAAGTTGCGTTACAATTCAATAGAACAATAGGATGGAAAAAGGTATAATAGAGAACAGAAACGGCATATCGTATGAGCGAATTCGCGCATGTTGCTTCAGGCGTAAGTGTCTGTGCAAGACATGTTGATATCGGCGGGGCGAAAAAGCACAGTGAGGCTTCATCTACCACACTGAAGTATTCATGTGTAATTTAATAATTGATGGAGAAGCGGGCATGCTTCGAAAGACCACCATACTTAAATTAGCACGCAGCCGGGCGTGCATTGCACAACCGAATGTGCAAACAGACTGGCTGATGAAAGAAGCCTATCAATGCGGTACGTAGTGTCTCTGTAGCTGAGTGTTTACCGCTCATCTCCAGACTTTTCTGCTGTTCCCTCATATTTATAGGGAACATACAGTTCTCTGCTTGTCGAAGATGGAAGTGGACTCTCCTGCACGCCCACCCTGTCTGCGGGCGTCAGTGCCGGCAGCCTCGAGTAAGCGAAACAGCGTTTTCAGGCAACCATCGTTGACACCACCGAAAGCACCAAAAGTTCCGATGGCGAATACGAGACTGTAATGAGTCAGAAAATGCAGCGGAGGATTCTCAAGCCCTCTATTGACGCAGCTGCGAAGACCCCGAAAAGCTCACCGAAGTACAGCATCCTCTTCTTGCCCACGCAGCCTTCCATCAACATGAGACTGCTGAACAAGCAAATGGTATCTTCAGTGGTCGAGGAAATGGTACCGAACAGTATTGAAGACATCAGAGTGAATCCCCGGAAGAATGTTGTTGCGGTGGACGTCACTCAAGTGTCTGCGTTAGATTATCTGAGCAAGGTCACCGTTCTCGATGGCTTGAACGTTCGAACGATCGCTCGGCTATGGAGACGAGAAACTTCTGGCGTCATATATGACATTGATGTGACCATTCCGAATGAAAATCTGCTGATTCTCATTTAGCCGGCAAATCATGGACACGAAGTCTTTCAGGTATGCCGTCTAGGAAAGTCCCGATTCTTGAAAATTGACTTCAAGAGCGATCACCTGCCGTCACATGTAAAGGTGGGTCAATTCCGACATGCGGTGCAGCCCTTTGTTTCTAAGCCGCTTCAGTGCCAAAATGTCAGAAATTTGGTGTTGTGAGCGCGGTCTGTGGAAATTCTACAACATGTTCCCGTCGCGGTGCACCACATTTGGCTGAACAGTGTAAGGCTGCATCTTACAACTGCCCAAATCCCTAGGGACCATATCAAACCCCATCGAAGGAGTGCCAGAAGATGAGGCATGCAATTTTCGTTCTGAAGAAAATGGTCAGGGACCATTACACTCACAGGAAACCAGCTGCTGTCGTCAGGCGACATCGTTCTCGTCGAAAGACGCTCGTCCGGAAAGTTTACTTACCTGGCATGCTTGTAGCAAAGCCCTTTTCAATGGAACTTACATCGTTAGCAACGCCGAAGACAAACAACACGTGCACTGCGAATATTACACTCGACAAGGAGACTGTGGAAGAAGCATGGTCATCCCTTCCAAGAATAACTACTGTGAATAAGGTGCAAAGCGCACAGGCAGCACCCTGCTCCACATCTCGTCCAGATCAGCCCCGAGAGCATGACCGTGAAATTTTGACAATGATGACGTGTCTCGTCAATGCAATAAGCACCCTTGTAAGGTCATATGAACACCCCGACAGCACGGTGCACAGTGCAAGTATTGGATGCCCTGAGTCAAGTGTTTGCTTGTCAACCTTGCGTAGACACAATGGCTTGTCAGCCGCCTTCGTTCAGTGGAGAACTGTGTAGTGCGACGATTTTCCAATGGAATGCCAGAGGACTGAAATCACGCATTTTCTGTTTTCGCCTGAATGTTTTCTGCAATAGGTTTTATATATTTGGGATGTGTGAACCAAACCAATCAGAGCCGATCAAGCTCTCTGGCTACGAATCCTTCACTTCATCGACTTTTGGTGAACCCAGCAAAGTAATTGCTATATTCTTTCAGATCTAACCTACATTCTGCAGTTAGTGCAACCCCACAACAAAAATCAGTTCGTGTGCACCCGTGTTATATAAGAGAAGGTAGCCTTCACGCTTATCAGAGCTTACATCTCTCCTTCTGTTCAGTTCTACGGGGAAAGACT